AGCCTGGAGAAGTCTTTAGTCAAGAAGCTGTTGTCCCAGGTATAATCAGGCTACCGGATAATAATAATGGAAATGAAATTTCCGTTTTTACAAACCAGATGCGAGATACAAGAGACGATGTGATTCTCAACATGAACAACCAAGTGTTAAAACTTACCGACATGCTTGCGAACCTTGTTACAAACCCCAATAAAACGAGGGACGTAGACGCGTCGCAGTTTGCCGTCACCTGTAGATCTCAAACCGAGACTCAGGGACAGTCGGGAAACTAAAGAGTCCGATGAAGGGGCCTTCCAGTAAGACTAAACCCAATGCTGGAGAACCAAAGGCACCGGAGGACGCACCAAAGAAAAGGGGTAGGAAAGTTGTGATTATCGAAGAATCAGAGGAAGAAGAAACTCCTCCTGAGAAACCAGAAAATCTCAATGGACCAAAGAAAACTTTGAAAAATAATCAAAAATTACTTGAAAGAAATGATGATGTCGAGGATCCTAATCCAAGGCACAAACAATTACCGTATCTCGGTATCCCAGACTTAAATAGTAATGCGAAAGAATCGGTTGAAGAGTATGACCCAGTGCCTTTCTATGAGAAGCGCCCGATAGCATACAAGCATTTAGCTCCAATAGAAAATGTTAAAAATGAGGAACAAGCGTTGAGCAGTCTGTTAAAAGCACCTGTTACTCTAAGCGCGGAAGTACTTATGAGCATTTCTCCTGGAGTAAGGCAAGAATTGTTTAAGGCCTTAGCTAAAAAGAAGGTACCAATTCAGACTGCTCACAATCGAAAAGTAACTATAGTCGAGGAGGTTGATAAAGACGCACCTCCAATTAAAAAGCAAGAAGATAATTTTAATTTCGGAAAAATCAATATAAATGACTTGGACATCAAAGCCACTTTTATGTGCACAACAGAGGATGATGGAGTAATACCAAAGGGTTCTATAGTCCTGACAGACCCTGTTGAGCAATATTTGCAAGGCCTAGGCTCATCGGAAACTCCAAAGGAGATTTACGTATCTAAAGAGTCCCATGCTTAAAATCGATATATCCAGTA